AAATGATCGGTCCCCAGAGTCGACAACTCTCCAATCCAAAATCCCGACTGATCCTAAGGATCAGAAGGGAAATCATCAAAGAGAATCTCGTCTGAGCTCGGATTTCATGGGGAACTGTGTCTGCTAAGCAAACAGGCCCCCCCAATAATCTCCACTACTAATGCTAGGTTTGCATTCAAGCTTGGGTATAGCTTATCACTCAACAGAACCTCCCTCCCCACAACACAACAATAATGATACATAATGCTAAAAATAAATGCTGGAAAGTAAAAATAAAGTACAACACGTATATACATACACCCAAAGATAACCAAACAGATAATAAACAGTCCACCAACTAGGATTTTAGGGTTTCAATATTTATTAAGTGTTTTGAATGAATGTACAAGTGAAAAGGGGGTTAGATGACAATATGCACAATATGATAATATGAAGTATGCACAATGATGATTATATGTACAAGATAAAGTCAATAGAAATATAAACAGAAAAATATGTGCGGAAATATAAAACAATGAAATATTAACAGAATATTAAAGTCGGGAGTTATCAATCGGTGAAACGGAGGAAGTCAAAAAATTCAAACCCCGTCTTAATCGCAAACTTCAAGTTAATTTAATCGAAAGGAACCTCTCGCGATCCCAAAGTAAGGAAAATGACCCAAATGGTCATTCTCCTTAGATTTGAAATAACGAAGGTTTCAACATCCTCGATGATTAACATTTGATGAATTGGAGACTTCATCGGTTCGAAATTGAAAATTCTAATAAAAGATGCAAGGTGAAAAAGAAGTGGGTCTCGGATCCATAGTTTCTCGTCAACAATTTGACGGATAAACGAAGAAAATATTTTCATCGACCAAAACAAAAATAGAATGAAAAGGCCCAATGACAAAATGGGAAATAAAATTTAACTTCAAAAATCGAAAATTATATAAAACTTGAAATAAAATAATACAAAGTTACAAAATAAATATTTATAAACTTCTAAGAGGAAAATAAATATAATATATTCTAAAAACTCTAATAGAAGAAACTATTATAAATTAATTAAACTAATATAATATATATACATATGAAAACTTTTTTAAAAAAAACTAAAATAATAAATCTACTATTACATAAATATATTTACAATAACTATTATATAAATGTATTTACAAAATAATTTACATTTTATTTAAAAAAAAACAGGGGGTTTAAAATAATGAAAGAATGTAGAATCATATGGACTTCATTTTGAAGCCCATCATCCACATTCACTCGCTGCAAACAGGGAGGGGGAATAACAAAAGACTCAAAAGAAATAATTAAATGAAACCCACATTCATCAAAGTAAAAGCTAGAAGAAGGACAAATCGTGGAAATGTAATCGAAAATAGCCTCAAGACATCATCTCTCTCCCTCGATTCCAAGGTTCAACTCTTGTTTGATCCACTCTGATTTTGTTTCAATTTTATTTTGGTTTGCTCAAGGTTTTTTCTTCTCCTCCATTACTGCCTGGATCTAAAGGTTGTCGATAGTTTGAAATGAGTTTTCGGAGTGTGTACTTGAGAGATTTGAAACAGGTTTTCGCCGGAACTGGGTTGAAGGGGGGATTGGTTTGTAGAAGTTGAGAAGCTGGGTTTGAGAAGCTTGAGAGGGTGAGGGATATGGCGAAGGGTTTCGCGGCGAGGGTTTGAGGGAGGACTGGGTTGCGATTGGAAGTTGGGTTTTGAAGTTCTTGGATGAAGATGGAGTCTGGCGAAATGGAAGAAGAAGGGAAGTGTTTTTCTTGTTGAGGGATGGCGAACGAAGGATGATGAAGGAGTGGTAGTTGCGGCGGCTAAGTTTAGGGTTCTTGGGATTAGGGTTCCAAGCTTAGAGATGGTGAATAGTGAACCGGTCCTGCTCTGCAACATGTCCCCTCCCTTAGATTTATATTGTCCCCTTTTTTTATTTTTATTTTTAAATAAAAGTTGTACTGATAATTGGTTAATAAGAAAATGAGTAATCCTAATCTAACTACTAAACTAATCTTAATAATAATCCTAATTAAATAATGAACTAATAACTAGCTAATTATAATTAAAACTACTAATTAATCATAAATAAAATTCTAAATCTAAATTAAAATTTTAAAAATCTATTCTAAAAAGAGTTTAATGAAAAACTAAATAGAAAAACTATTTTCTAAGATTATTCTAAAATAAAAAAATAATTCTAAAAAATGCTAGATTAAATCTAAACTAAATCTATTTCTAAATTAATTAAAAAAAAATCTACTTTCTAATAAACAATAACAAATAAATAAAAGAAAGCCATTCTAAAATAAAATTCTAACTAAAAATATTTCAAAAACAAATTCTACTCTAATTAATTTTAAAACTAAAATTCTAATAACTAAATGAAAATAAACTGAATTAAAATAAAATTCTAATGAAACTCTATTTAAAATTCTAAGATTATTATATTTAAAAAAAACTATTTAAATCTAATAAAATAAACTAAACAATTAAAAAAAAACTATTTCTAACCAATTTTTTTATTAAAAAAAACAATATTAAAAACCTATTTAAACTATTTTCTAAATAATTAAAAATAAAGCAAAAATAGCGATCAAATGCAAAATGCCATGGAAATAGAAATGTAAAACGGACAAACACCGAAATGCGCCAAATTATCAGCACGGACTGAATCATCAATAAATTCTCGTTTTCGACATAGAACTTCTCGTTTGAATTGATTTGAATCGTCTAAAATGCGAGCAAAACGACTGTAATCCCAATAAATTCAATTCGGCTGATAACACTGGAAGGATGCGACATAAATGATATGCAGATGAAAACGAAGCAAAGGCTAGTCAAAGCTAGAAAAAGGGTGGGCAAATTTAGGGTATGACATAGAGAACTAAACCCTTTGGGTGATCTGCTGTATTTAGGTTCAATTACCTTGAAATTAATATAACTATGCAATTCAATTTCTATTCATATCAATCCTGTTATATGCTTATCATTTGCTTAATGCAATTTGTCATAGAAACCCCAAATTCATCATTTTTCTATTTTTTATGAATACTTTTACTATTTTCATAGTTTTAGAAAATTCTAAAAAAATCTCAAAATTCTTATTTCACATAATAGGGACATTGTTGGCATTTTCACGTTTGTTACTGCATTGTTGCATTAGTTGTGGCTATTACTAGGTCTGGTTGTTCTGACCTTTTTTTATTTGATCCTGAGGTAGATAGAACCTTACATGCATGCCTTAGAGATAATCAGGCAAGCACAAGTTCACCAACCGTTAATGACTCTGATTCTGATTCCTTGTTTTTTTTATAGCCTATTTGATTCTGATTCTGAACTTGCACTAGTGGAAAAAAGGATTTTTAAGTCGGTTAAAAATAACTTTTTAAGTCGGGTCCGAGCCCGGCCTAAGAATTACCAACATAAGAAGTTTTGACTTCTTAAGTCGGTTGTGGACCTGACTTAACAAACTATTATTAGGTCGGTTAGACAGAACCCGACATAATAAGTCTAGCCTGAAGAAACCTCTCGGGCCATTTATACCCGACCTAAGAACTTACTTTCTTAAATCAGATATAACTAACCGGCCTAAGAAGTTGTTTTTTTTGGTTAATCACACAAATCATATGCAGCTTTCCCATTTAACAATTTACCCCTAAATCAGACAATCCAACTCAATCAACAAATTACACCCAAAAAAAAATCACATAACACAAATCACAGTAAAACACCTAATTATCAAATAAAATAAACCAGCAACTTATAAACACAATTACGTATAGTAATAATACTAATACACAAACAAACGTGTGCATGTTAATTCTATGCGCAATTCAAGTATTTGTAATAGTAACAAGTTTGCAATGGGATAATAATATTGTTGTACCTAACATAAATTGGACATCCATCGATTGCACGAGCTGCGGTATGATACTCAGCTGCTGGATGTAATCTCTGAAATCACAAAGATATTTGTTAGAATGAAGAAAAATCAACACCTAAAAAAGAAGGTACTAATTGAATTACAGTTGAAGATCAATTCAGTTTCACTTACATGGAACATGTCCCAATTAGGTTGCATAAACTCTCCAAGGAAAAGTGAATTGTATGCAACAGAAGAAATATGGATTGTGTGGTGTTTCTTCACTCCGCCAACAAGATGTTTAAGACCCGTAAACATTTCTGTGATTTATTTGAGAAATAACATCTACCTCATTGATGAATTGTTCGATTTGGCTTTCATCTATTGTTTTGGACTTTTTTATAGCAACAGTTCTATTATCTTCTACTTCCCCTTTGAAAACTGTACCATATCCTCCTCTGCCTATGATTAAGCTCTCATCAAAGTTGTTTGTGGCTTTCCTTAGTTCATTTTCTTTGAAAATATGAGTTATTTGAGATGATGATGAGTCCACAACATTCAACAGGTCTTGTCTACTTGCACTGCAAGACACCAAAGGGTATTAGAATTTGACTACAAATAAACAGAGATTAGAAAATATAATGTTTGGTGAATAATATGGAATTGTTTTTTGATTAAAAACAGTTTGACTTGCTGTTTGCCGCCGAGATCCCAAAACATTGTTCCAAACATCAAGGCTATGAATGTGGTGAAGAAAAACCTCACAGTAGTGTATGGTGGATTACGCCAATATGACCAACGTTGCTTCCATAAGCAAGCCTGACATTGGACAAAGAACGACTGCGAGAATTGTGTAGGGAAATGAAGATCATTTGAACCAGGAGCAGGTTGGCCAAGTTCTTGTATAAGTTGTTTATTTCTCCTAAAGAGCCATACAGAACAGTTTAAGCATGTTACAAACATGATAGGAATAGCAACTATAGTTAATAGATTCATATCCATATGCACTAGTGTACCTGTATAGATCTGAATTTTTGTACAAGTCAGTAAAATCAACACCCAAATTAAATTCTTATGTTGTAGTTGTAACTTCCAACATCCATGTTGCTGGATTATATCCGTCTTTGATCTTACTCACCCCTTCAATACTCTGGGCAAAGAAACTTATTTGAAAACTTTAGTAACTAATTACAATCAAGAAATGGAGACATTCACTTGAGTAAATTTTATAGTAAAGTGGGATCGTACCTCGAAATACATGACCAAATGAACAGAATGACGACCAAATGAACAGAATGACGACCAAGTGGTCCAACGTATATTTCTTGCCCTCCACGCTTCATAAGGAATAGCTAGAATTGCATATGAATAATATGTCAGATTCAAGTATAATAGAGATGAAAACAACTATAAAAGGTAACTTCATTTGTCATTAGTATTTATTTGTTATCACCGTTCACTACATACCTCATCAAATGCTTCAAATATGTCAATACTAGGCTGATGGATGGTACACACGACTATTCTTCCTGTGTCCACTGTGTTCCTTACAATTCTCATAACAATTGCAGCAGCTCTAGCATCTAAACCAGAAGTAGGCTCATCCATGAAAATTATAGATGGATTAGCCACTAGTTCGACTGCAATAGTAAGTCTCTTGCGCTGTTCAGTTGAGAGACCACTCACGCCAGGAAAACCAACCAGGGAGTTCCTCAACAGGTTCAGCTCCACGAGGTCCATGACTTCATCAATAAACATCTGCAATCATTTTTAATGTCCTTAAAGTCAGAACAATCAACCTCAAATAGATTAGGAGAAATGAAACCTAAAATGGCATAGTTTGTATTAACTGACCTTTCTGGTCTTGGAATCAACTCCAGAAGGTAAACGAAGCCATGCTGAGTAAAGTAGGGACTCATAAACTGTTACATGAGGTGAATGGATATCGTTCTGCTCAAAGTAGCCAGAGATTCTAGCAAATGTTTCCTGGTTTTTCGGGTAACCAGAAACCTTGATGTCCTCATCAATATGTCCACCTGTTTTCTTACCAGCCAGAACATCCATCGGAGTTGTCTTTCCGGCTCCACTTACACCCATCAAAGTTGTGAGAACACCAGGTTTGAATGTGCCACTAACACCCTTCAAAAGTACTAATCTTTCCTCTGTAACACCTTGTTCCTTCATTTCCTATCAGATGAAATTGGAGTTAAGTTAGAAAAATTCTTTTGGTCTCACTAAACATAAGTCTAGTTAAATCTCTAAATGCTGAATATATCACTTTGTGTGAACCTTACCGCTGGCATATCAACAGAGTATACAATGTCATCAAAAGTGATAGAATGTGGTTCAAATGGAAGAACCATGCCTTTCTTCTTTCCATGGATGGACTTTGTTGAAGGTGAGAAAAACACTTAGAAAGGGGGTTGAATAAGAGTTTTTAGGAAATATGGCAATAAAAAGAGCCCAATATTTTTATCCTGGATCGTTGAACTCAACTACTCCAGTCCACCTTATCAAAGATGATTTGCCTTTCTCTGCAAGGACTTAATCCGCTATTGATCAACTGATTACAATAGAAAGCACTAAGAACAACTGTCTTAGTCTTCTCAAGAACTACTGACCACACCTTGGTCTTCTTAAGGAACTTCTTACAATTTAATGTAAACTAACAAGTGTTTGAATGCTTCTAATAAGCTGTATCACAACTGTGATGTATACACTTAAGATTAAGTACAACAATAACTATGTGGTTTTATGAAAGATCAAATGAGTAAGATCTTGTGAGATTTTCTCTTTTATGAATCAAGAGTGTTTTTCTTTCTGAATGATCTAGCAATGAGCAAAAGATGAGTAGTGAATTAGCAGCATCAAAATGTTGAAGTAGTTCTCCTTTTATAGCTTTTTCCAATGCCTTGAGTGATGTGCAGCTGAATATAATATTTTGATTGTATGACTTTTCATCACCAAAAGTGTTGGTGTAAGCCCTAGAGGCCAATATTTTTTGGTACTTGTATCAGATTATTCGTTTAATAATAAAAGGCATTTCTTTATTATGTTTGTCTTTCAGAATAATAAAGTCCCTAGAATAGTTAGTCTGTTTAATGAAATGTTAAGTGTGACTTAATCATGAGATCCCATTAAACATAAAGACATTATTCTTAAAATATCCGTAGTCAAGCTTTATTGCAAAGTGGGATAACATTAAAAGCATTGAGACTATTATGAAGATAGACTGATGATCACATCTCATGGATCATGGATAAAGAGTTATCAAGTCTTGATATAGGTATAAATATTAGGAGTAATATTTATACCGGATTGACCCGCTATGAGAATACTACATAGTATGTTATGCAAAGTGTCATAAGTTATTCTCATGGTGATAATGGTGTATTACCACCCTTCGACCTGAAACCACTATGGACCCTAGATGTAGAGTCGGGTGCTTTATTGCTGATCAAACATTATCCGTAACTGGATGATCATAAAGACAGTTGATGGGCACTCCACGAAGCATGCTGAGGGACATGAGTGTCCTAGATGGAATTTGCCAATCCTGCATAACAGGAGAAATGTCTAAGGGCCCAATATTGAACTGGACAAGGATGACACAGTGTATGCCTTGTGTTCAATATAGACATAGGGGCAAAAGGGTAATTGTACAAACATATATTATCACGAAAAAGGTTTTGTCAGATCACATGACATTTTCGTGACTTGGGTAGCAGTGATGTGTTGCTAGATACCGCTTACTGTTTATTATGTTAAATATATATAATTTAATATAATTACCAACGTTACGAAATCCTACAGGGTCACACACATAAGGACAGTTTGATGAGAGATAGAGAAATCAAAGGAACACCGTAAGGTACGGTGCACTTAAGTGAAAAATAGAAATTCGGATAATATAATAATAATTATTGTTATTTTATAATGGTTATAAAATAATAATAAAATAAATATATTTATTATAATAATAGTTATTATAATAATATATAATATTATTATGGATCATGTGAATTAGGGTTTTAGCCCGCAGCCCACAAGAGAGTCTATAAAAGGAACCCTTGTGATGAAGCTTTCACTTGATGCAATTTCGTTTTTGATTCTCTTTTCTCACTCAAATAATTCCGTTCGTAAGCAGCTAGCACTGTGACCGGAAGCTGTTCGTGTGGACTGAGTAGAGGCGTTGCACTTCATCAACGCTTGTGATCGCTGCATCAAAGATCTGAATCGCCACAAAGAGGTAACGATTCTATCACTGACCATGCTCATTCGTGAGGATCACTAAAGGAAAATTTTTGTTTTCCGCTGCGTTTAGATCGCAATTTTCCTTCAAAAAGTATGGGCAGAGATATGCTTTCTGCAGAAAGGTATGGTTGTAGAAGCCTTGGGATTTGCACCACGTCACTTCTTTGGAAAAATTAGCCGTTGGTTACTTTGGAAGTAGCACCACGTCTAATCAATTTTACAGCTTCTTCAACAAGCTTCCTTCAAGATGAAGTCTTCACAATCTATATTTTAGAACTTGTAGTAATCTTAAAAGGTATGAAATGCTTCAAGATGATCAGAGCTTAAGATGGATGATAAGTCCAGAGTCTTGATAGATGATCAGATCTTTAATGTATCAGAGTCTCAGTCTTGATCAGAGTTTCAGTCTTGATCAGAGTTTCAGTCTTGATCAGAGTCTTCATCAAAGTATGCAACAGTATATGCTCTGAGCGTGAATATTAATGATAAGAGTCTGGTTATAAAAGCCTCTGAGTTTGTAGTGAAAATATCTTCAGAGTCTGATAAGATCAGAGCTTTCAGCTTTTGTATACTTCTTTCAGTAACGCTTCAGATCATTCTGTAGCTTTTGCTTCAGATCCTTCTGGCAGCGCTTCAGAATCTTCTGATAGTCTTGCATCTGATGCTTCCAGATCTTTGCATAGTTTCTTTGTACTTATTTGCTTCTTTTAAGAGTATTTAATTTTATACCTGAAACAATAATACTTGAACAAATTTTAGAGTGTATATTTGCTCGTTACAAAATTCCATAAAAGTTATCATCAAAACATAGAGATATAAGAAACACCAATATGTGTTCTAACAATCTCCCCCTTTTTTATGATGACAAAACATAGGGAATTTTGTTCAATGAAAAGAGATAAAATAAATAACTCCCCCTGAGAATAAGAATCTCCCCCTGAAATGAATATTCTAATGGAAGAGAACACTTCCCTTTTTGCTTGAGTATATTTCAGAACCTGGTAGGAATCCTTGATGAGAGAAAAACTCAGCATCAGCTTGCTCTCCATAATTCGTTTTCAAGGATCAGAGCGTTTTCAAGGATCAGAGCCTAATTGGATAATTCTCAGGGTAATCTTCAGATCATTTTGTTAGATGAGATAATGAGATCTGAAAGTCTTAAGATTCAATGTTAGATTAAAGCAATGTCTGAATTTCATTTTTAGCATTTGCTTATGTTGAACAATCAAATTCTCTTTCTCTTTCTCCCCCTTTTTGTCATAATCAAAAAGAACTTTAAAGACAGAAAAGATAACAGAAGAAGAGAGAAAACAAATATGACACACGAATGGAAGACAAAGTAGCCAGATTTAATCAGATCAGAAAATCACAAAGCATAAGAAGTTCGTAGAGCAGATGATAAAAAAAACAAACAGAAAAAACGTGCAAACACGAGAATGTAAAGACATGAAAAAGAAAACTAGGGCTGGCGAGAAGCAATCAGTGTCAGAAGATCCGTAATCTTAGCAGTGGACTCTTCTTTCTTGGCCATCCAAGTCTTGATTTCTTCAGTAGTCTGTTCCTGTTTTATCATCCATGTTCTAATTTCCTTGACTTCTTGGACAACATCTGGAATCTCAGTCTTCATCTCAGATGCAGAAGGTTCAGAAGCAGATGCAGTTGCCATTGGATGATCAATCTCCATGTCAGATGCAGGAGTATCTTCTATCATGGCAGAATTTTCAGCAGGAGCATCTTTTAGAAGAAGCACTGGAGTTGTGATAATGTTCAGCAAAGTTTGTCTGACCATTTCAGCAAACTTAGCCTTTGCATCATCAGCACAGAGTGTTCTGAGGTCAAATGCAGCAGAGTTGAATTTTGATATGAATCTGTTCCAAGAAGTTTCAGATTCAGCAGGATTCAAACTAGCCATGCATTCTCTCTCCACAGAAGCAATTCCTTTACGTAGTTCCTTCTTGAAATTTTTGAACAGAGTAGAAACATATGATCTGGGTTTTGGTTTGAGAAAGTCTTCTATGGTGACAGGTTGTGATGGTTCAGGAGGTGTTTGAGTTTGTTCAGGATGTGGGTGATCAGATGATGGACGTTCAGATGGTGTTTGAGTTTGGGGTATGGATGTTTGTGGTATGGTAAGTTGAGGAATGGAGGTGTCAGTATCAGATGGTGTTGATATAACAATATCAGATGAAGATGATATAAAATCTGTGAAGTTGAATTTGAAACGAAGAGGGGTTTTAGATGCAGGTAGATCAGATGATAGTGGTTTATAGGGATCAGGAATTTGTAAGCTAGTTGGAGAGGGGACTTCAGATTCATCAGAATCAGATGATTCAGTTGAAAGACATGAAGTTGAAGAGAGGACATACAAGGTTGCAAGTGGTGATATATCCAGAATGTTTTCAGATGGTTGTTGGACAGATGGTTGAGGATTTTTGATGGTTGGTTCTTCTGGTGGTTGAGTAGATGAGAGTGGTTCAGATTGTTTTTCTTGTTTTGATTGTGTTTGTTGTTCAGAGGATTGTTTTTTTTATGATTGAGATGATGGCTGTTGTTGTGTTTCAGATTTGTTTGGTTGAGGAGGTTGATGTTCAGACGATTTCTGTTGAGGGGTTTCAGATGGTAGTTGAACAGAAGATGGTTGAGAATGTTTCATGGGAGATGAAATGGGTTCAGATGATTTCAGAGGAGATGGTGGAGGTGAAGGTGAGGATGAAGGTATATATGGTTTGGGATCAGATGTTAATACCTGGTGAATTGTTTCTCTGATTTCTTCCACAGTAGCTTCTGGAGGATTTTCATTTTGCTTCTTGTCCTTTTCAGGCTTGTCACCAGCATCAGAGGCTTTCCTCTTGGGCTGTGCAAAAGATCCTTCTTCAGCCTTTCTTTTCCTGCACCTTTCTCTCATAAGACATGGCAATACTTCTCCTTCCTTCTGTACTATGTTAGCAGGCAGAGGAATACCATCTCTTAAACATTCAGCAATGAATGTCAGAATGATGTGCCTAGGTTCATCAGCACTGAACATAGGAAAATCTGCTAGAGGAATTCT